AAACTCTCCCAGAGACGGAAAAAATATTCTAATAGCGCAACATGTCCGAAAAATTTTCAGAAGATATTCAGAAGACATTCGAACATCCTCAGGATGTTCTCTGAACGTCTTCGGGATATGTGTGTTATTAGGGTATTATATTATATAATGAAGAATAAATATTGTTCTTCTAAATAGACGCTCGTAGTATTTTTGATTTTTCAAAGATATATGTATAAGACCATGGAATCTCTGTCGACGTGATAAAAAATATCGTGAAAGCGAGGGAATTTTTTCCGCTGATATCTTGGCGTTTTCGAAAACATCCGCGATCAAAATCGTTCGTTCGATCCGTAATGATACAACGCGAGGCAGACGGTGAGAAAATAATGGGTGATACTTGGCGAGCAAAACGCAGAAGGCCGCGAGGGAAAAAAGCGGTAGGAAAAGGGAGACAACCGAGAGGCGAACAGAGAATCGGGAACGAAATGTATATATACGTGGTACAGCACAGAGTCTCTCTCTCGCCGGACAACCGACAGTTAGAAGAACGGGGTGGCTGTCGAGGAGGGTAGGTACCTGCCTACTCCTCGCACCCTCGCTTGGCGCTATAGTAACAACACGGGGGAAACATAGGGAAATCAATATGGCTTCCGTTGCCCTCATCCCTCTCGCGCGCGCGGCTCTCGCAGGCAGCCGGAGTCGTCTCTCGCTCTCGTCCGATTTTCTCGCTCCTCTCTCGCTATCACGGAATTACGTCTCTCGCCCCCCGAAACCTACCCTCGTTCATCTCCGTCTTTCCTATCCTCTTTCTCTCCCTTGCTCCGTTTCTCTCTCTTTCGCTCACGCTCTCGCTCTTCTCTCTCTCTCTCTCTCTCTCCAGCACTCGACGCGGACGGGTGAACCCATTATAAGGGGGTGTTACTCCGGGCCAATCCCCAACCATCCGGAGAGAGAAACCGGAGAAGCGAGAGTCCAAGAAGGGCGCATGTGCGTTGCTAGGGCCACCGGATGGGTCGCGCGATGCGATGCGATGTGATGCGATGCGGCTGCGACACGTTGTAACGCTGCGCGTTACGTACACCCGGTATATCAGATATATTATGACGAAAATATTTCAAGATATAGCACGCACAACCAATGGAATTCGCATTCTGGCTGATTAGCAGTGTTTGCTGGTATCTGAAGAAAATTATGTAGACGATTATCTAGATGAAACTTTGTGACTTCATCTTATCTGCATCTTAGATGAAAATAAGTATTATCTTTACTAAATTATCTAGAATAATTTTTCAGATCATTTTAGTTTAGAACAATAGCACATATAGAAATACTTAAATAGTAGAACTTAAGCAGTAAGCGATAAAAATTTATAAATAAATATATGAATATATCTTTATATCTCTTTTATAATTTTAATTTGTTTATAACTGTGTTTACATAAGCAATCTTAAAAATAATATTATCTGAAAATTATCTAGATCAATCGCCATATAATTTTGTTTTTTATCTAGATATATTTAAAACAAAGTCATCTTTATCTTATCTAAGATGAATTTACAAATTTTTATCTCATCTTTAACTAACTAATTTTAAGATCATTTAAGCACGACACTGTGATGATTCTTTGTCGAAAATTAAGGGTGGTAATAAACTTGGTGATTTCTCTTTCTAAGTTTCGTTTTTTAATTTATCTGAAATTGGAAAAAAATAAAATCTTAATTTTTTACCTCCCTCTTTACAAAAGTATAATTTCTCAGGGAGGGTTATAAAAGTATATGTTTATATAAGAAATTGTGCTTAATTTTCGACAAAAAATCACCTCCTATTTTTTCGCACTTATTTAAATACACCCTGTATAATAAATTTGCCAATTTGCCAATTATCTAAAATATATTCTTCTATAGCAAAAAAATAATAGCGAGTATTATCTTTGCGTTTTTCTTTTTAACAGTCATTAATAAAATCAAAATTAGATGCATTTTAATCGCTCTGCACAGTTTTACAAATGTCTCAAGATATATTAATGTTAAAATTTCAATCTATATAAAAATAAATTACTATTAGCGTTACGAAAATTATATCGCATAGATAATAAAGTAATTGTATTTGTATCATAAAATACTATTGATTCGTTTTATATAAACAATTTACATATATATTTATATTTGAAATTATAAATTTTTTGTATAATTGTCTTACATTATAGATATATGTGTATATGTAAACCTTAATTTTGATTATAAGATAGTCTTTTCTATAAACTTTACATTTACATATATATGTGTACAGTACATTTCTAAATTATATATTTTTAAATATAAAATTAACACTTTTTTAAAAATTTATTGTACACATATAAATGTAAAGTTTATAAAAGTTTATCTTATAAAAGTTAAAGTTTACATATGAGGGTAAATATACATAAACACATTAATCTATACTGTAAGACAATTATAAAAGCATGTATTATTTCAAATTTAAAAATATATAATTTAGAAATTTACTGTACCTATAAATGTAAAATTTATAGAAAAGATTTTATCTTGTAATATAGAAGTTAAAGGGTCCTAAAACTCTTTCTCTCATAAAGTGCTCGAGATAACAAGGATGGCTCTCTGACGGCGAACCATGAAACCAGAACTCGACGTCGGTAATCATGGAAAATCCAGGTATATGGAAAATAAATCTTTCACAAACGATAGCCATTCATAAGCATGTCGAAAATAAGATATATCACAGCAATAAAAAAAAAGATATTTTTATATTTCAATTTGCAAAATGATGGTCAAAGTTGTTACTACAGTTCGCGAGAAATCTCAACCTGATTCCAAGCAGAGCTTGCCCGCACCTTTCAACCAATAGTTCTCGAAATATCCTAGAACACTCTTAGTCTAGTAGATCCATTCAAGAATCGTGCAGAAGTTGAATCCCGTAAAGAGCTATACAGGTATTAAAGCTTGTTTGTTACCCAACGATGCATGTTTCTCATCCAGTAAGCGATTTAAATACACCGCGCGTCAAACTTTGAAAGAAACAATTCCACCGTCGTTATACTTCACACCTTCTTTCTTTGTGTGAATCCAGCACATTTGATTTCACGGGATACTTCATCTTCCTTGCGTTGGCTTACTCTAGTAATCGATTAACGAGGGAGGAAGAGACGTCAGGAAAGGTCGAGTAGTCACTTATAGGTAAGTCATATATCGAGCATTGAGAGAGACGTCCTTTTGTTTGGAGAGAGAGAGATCCTTTCCTGCTCCTCCTCGCCTCTTTTCCTCGTCCAGATGACGGATTTAAGTTTTTTTCTCCTAGAGGAACATACACCAAGTAGAGAAGAATGCGCGATTCACCAACTCCATCGCGGAGCTTATATATATATATATATATGTACATCTAGTTTTTTTAATAGAGGTGAAACTTAGAAGACCTCCATTGTATTCGTCTTCGTGAATTCCTAAAACACCTCTTGATGCCAATCGCGACACGACCACTTTCTTCCATCAGCACATCAATTAAGGAAAGCCGCTTGCTCCAATATGTGGATTCGAATTTTATTTCCATTAGATAATGATGATGGTGAAGATATGTGTGTATACATATATGTATGATTGTGTGTGTCGTGCAACAGCTCCTTAAAATTCACATAGTCCTTTTCCCTTGACACAATTATTTTTTCTACATTACATTAGCAGTTGCACAGGCTAAACGAGAAAGAGAGAAAGGCGCAATATTCTTCCAAATATTAAAGAGGTAAGCTAGAGCCTTCCAACGTCACGATTCCTTGACAGTTCCAACCATGGTCTATCCAGCGCACTTGACACAGAATACCGTGAGAACGAATTGGCTGAAAGAACGAGGACAAACTACACATTTGTTACTGGCCGACGAGAAACACCAAATATCAAACGACGCTCATCGCTTGTAACGTTTACTGAGTAGCATCGGACCACCTTACTCCCTTATGTTTAAATATGTATTATATAGACTATAGTCTTTAAAAAGCGCTCGCGAGAAAGCTCGATCGAATGTACCTAAGATAGAACGTTTCATTGCACGTATTTTTGCATCTGTGCTGTTTGATCAAGCAAATCTGATGCCAGAAAGCAGTTTATATGCGAATTTTGCACCAAATCGGTAAACAAATAATGAAAATTATAAATTAAAACGCGAGAACGTAACACGATTTTCCACATATTGATGTCCTAGCGGAATGTTAAGGAAATAACTTCGCAAGGAAAAGGAATCGATCAAGGAGCAACGTACAGTTGTCCAAATAATATCCTTTACCGGTACTGTATCCCGTATGGTAACTGATGACAATTATAGCAATACAAATTTATATCATCGAAACAATCCAGCAATTATTATTGTATTAGATGTAAACTCATTTCCTGAATATTGTTAATACTTAATAATATAATTTTAATTATTTAATGTGGAAATAATATCAGGGAAAAGACCATAAAATTGTAGTCGGTAAAGCAGACTTCGAAGATGCCACCAGCCTTACTAAAGACGGGGTTGAACGTATTACAGGCACTCTCTACTAGAGAGTTGTGGAACGTTGGTATCTCGTGACAGGCTGCTGGTACCAACAGAAACTGATCTTACCAACCTCTGGTCGGTAAAGAATTTTTCTCATATCAGATAAATTAACAATTTTACGAGAAAAGCCAATTTTCTCGATAATCATTACTCTACCACCGTGCTTTTATACCAAAAAGCGTTTCCTCTAGTAATATTTTTTACAGTTTTCGGATCAAAAATACGAGTATTATAAAATTACATCTACATGATTTAATTATATTAATATGCCTTAATTTATTTAAAATTTCCTTTTTTCTTAAAGAAATTTATGCGTTGTATTTATTTCGTTATTTAACGTTAATATTTAAATGCTTTTGTCATAAAACAGAGTATATGTATAATCGAATGCTTCTCACTCGCGCTTCGAATAATAACGTTAGAAGGTCGTGTTTATCATCACGTGTTCTCATACGAAAAGATACATGTACAGGCGAATAGATACGCCAGGATATATACAAGCAAGACTTTCAGTTGTCTGTTGAAGTTGTAACGGTTCACACGGTTAAAGTGACTCTACTAGTCCAGGTAATATCGACGTGAAAGTGAAATTTTAATATAAAATACAGTAAAAGATAATCAATTTAATATCATATCGACTAAATTGAAATTACTTAATAATCATATTTTTGGAAATGGAATAAGTTTTGCTTTGAATATCCACCTGTAAACATACATCGCGTAGATTGTGTTGGTTCACTAATCATATTTATAACAAGAAAAAGTGTTGAGATGACAGAAAAAACATACATGTATTTTTTGCATAATTTAAATAAGAAATGTTGCGAATTTGTATATTTGTGATATGTATACAAATTTATTTTTAATTTAATTTTACTTTGTAACAGTAAATGCATTCATTTTTTTCTCCCATTTTAAAAGATTTAAACAAAGTGTGGTGACGCAGAATGTTGACGCCGGCAAAAGCTTCGTGGAACATCAAAATATGCGAAATGACATATAATAAAAAATCACTTTTGTGACGCTGCACCAATCGGTGATCTTGTAAATATCATTAAGTATCAATATTAACGTAACGATTCGTTTCAGGTCGAAAATTCGCGTTAAGAAGACAAGAATTATGGCATTGACGTTAGCGCTACCATTAATCGGTCTAGATCCGGAACAGTTTTCCGCGTTAAGCATGAAGCTTCTTACGCTCGAGAACGAACAGAGCTCGAGAAATTTGAGCGATTCCGGACGAGCTTCTCCAAGTACCGGAAGTGAGTCCAGCGGCATCAGCAGTCTCGCACTGTCCAGCGAACCAGCGTCAGCCGAATTAACGCCGATCTCGTCGAGACCAGAGACTCCCACCAAAGTGTCGTGCAATGAGAAGGTAAACATCACGCGCGAATAATTCAGAACCTGATATAAAGAGGGATTGTAAGAATCCTATATAAAAAAAATAGACGGATCGATAGATGGAGAGAGAGAAAGAAAATTTCAGAGAAATTATTTTCCAAAAGATTTTTTTTTCCCCCGAAAAAGATGCGATACAGTCGTATTTATAATATATTGGCACATGTCTTGAATTATTTTCCTAAAGAATATTTATCTAGTCAAAATAAAATAATGTATCCAGTCGTATTTATACAAAGTAGGAAAATTTGGTTTTCTCGTTAAAATTTTGGTATTAAATATTTAGCACAGTCATGTGTTAATTTAACATCAATATTAAATTATTAAAATAACTGAAAAAAGATGTAAAAATAGCACAATGTACATCTATTTTTAATGTTACACGATAGATATGTTCTCTTTTATTAATGACAAGATTTATCTGTTAAAAATTTCAGAAAAAAATGTTGATTTTTTATTTTATAATATAAGTGAGGATGTTAAAATCTAAAAAATTAACATATTTTTAATTAATTTTTATCTTAAAACTGTGTAAATTTTATATAAAATATATTTTAAATTATTTGAAGTTTGGCATTTATTTTGTGTTAAAATATTAACACAATATTTGTATCTTCATTTAAAATATTCATATTATGTTAAGTTAACATAAAAATTTCTGTAGTTTATTTGGGATATGTGATATCTGTTAAATTTAACACAAATTTTTCATCTGGATAACTTTAATAATATTGCTGCACGAATTTTTGCATTAAAATCATAAATTAAAAAGGCTCCGATATATAAATATAAATTCAGGTATGAAAAGAGTTAGTAAAAAAGTCAGACACAGATTTTAAATTTTAAATTCCTATATATATATACTTATATGGAAAATAAAAATTATTTTGTTACCTAATATCTGGCTTTTACTAACCATTTTCATGCCTAAATTTTGGTATACTTAATAAGTTTGTACGTGTATGCAAGAGAGAATAAAGAAAGATTCTTTCCTTCCAGATGAATGCACCGCTTCGCATAATGCACGGAGGACGCGACATACTGAATTTGGGAGCGAACATTAGATCATCGTACAATTGGGAAAAAATGGATCGAAAGTTATCTCGACACGAAATTCGAAATATTGTAACCAATCGCTCGGTGTATTATCGATTAAACGAGCAATTAATGAACGAATATTCGATGGTATGTATCCATATACATGATATAGTAAAAAATAACGATAATATTTACAGTCTATATCCTCCTCTTCCTTTTCTCATTGAGGGAAAATAATTAATAAAAAATAAGAAATTAATTTAAATAATATAATAATGCAGTATATATTGTATAAATATATATACAAGTAATATATATAAAAATATAATTATATATAAATTAATTTATATAATTGATATAAATAATTTATATATACATACATAGATGTATTTTTGAATATTAACTTGAAGTATTCCATATTAATTTGATATTAAGTTAAGTTTTCACAATTTTAATGACCGTAATTGCTTTCTAGAAACGCTGCGACGAATGTGGATTCTGCGAACAATCATACGTCTTTTAATATCGACGAAATCATAACGAAACGATTGAACGCGACAATAATGCCCCACGTCCAACATCGTGGACAACTAAGACTGTGATAGACCGAATAAGCGGCAGCCGGAGACGGAGACGTGTATCGTAAATCACACAAGATCAAAATCATAGATGTATATAAGATATGTATAGATATTTAAAATTATTTAAGGGAGGCTACAACTCGCCATACGCGGTATTCGCCAAGTGAGAAATGAATATTGATAATTTAAATAATTCCTAATTATTAAGAGCTTTATTTATTCCTCGTATATTTGAGGAGGATATATCTATTTAAATTAGAGAGATTCGAGTGTGTATATATATTTATATATTTAAATGATATACGTTCCCCCAACCGGATACGGGCTGCAATGGTCATTGGAAGTAGAGCTTTTCCTATATTTTTTATCTTTGTAAGAGAGTGGTGTGAAATGAAAAGAGCTGAAATGAATTTTGCATCAGAATAAAAATAAATTAATTAGGCTAATCCAATGTCTCTATGGCGTCTAATTTTAGACATATAGTTCTGAAATCTTTTTTTTTTTTTTAATACGATGCAAAATCGATTTTATCGCCCGATTATATAATTCTTTCATGTTTTTATAACATCTCTTTCTTACAAGATGCTCCTTAACTATATTCTAGTGCGTATGGACCTAATTATACTTCGGACGAATGACGATAGAAACATCAGCACTTTATAAAGCAGTCCGAGCATAAAGTATCGTCTGATTAAACAATCGGCGATCCATCGAACGATCAAACGATATCGAGATCCTTTATGCACGATATGTGACAATTTATAATCTATGTCAAACAAGTTTCGAACATTCGACGAAAAAAAAGATTGCAAGTTTTTACTCGCAGTCACTATTTGTTCGGAAAGAAATCTTTTCTATATGTATTCTATATATATCTATCTTCTTTATACAAATTTATTATTAATTTAAATATCTCGTTGTCAAGATTGTCATCGTCATCGACGTAAGTCGATCGTGTATCGTTTTATATTTTTGCAATTGTATGAACAAGTGCCGCAATTAACTTTTTTTTTTTTATGGAGCATCGTTATATAAATGACGCACCGATAGACAATATTGCAATATCACGAACGATCGGCGATTTATCAAGCGGCCGAAAATCAATCAATCATATCAATCTTACATTTTCGCGGTAAATGTAATAATATACCTGCTACGGAGGAATATTAATGTACAATTCTACGACGGCACATATTGCATATACATACATCTTGACCATTGTTTATGAATGCATGATAAACAATTTTTTATAGATCTCAATATATTGTTGCGGCATTATAATTATATCTATTTTTTACACCAAATAAAATCATGTAAACCACTCGCTCAAAAATCTGACGAAATCACTTATTCTTGTCTTTATGTACGTATTTGATTTTCATAAAGAGACACGAGGGGATAAGAAGCGCTCTGCAACTTTTTCCTTAAAATTACAAAATCAGATTCCGAAAAAGTTGCATTTTAAATATGTAATCCCTAATTTTAGCTATAGTAACTAGTATGTTTTTCAATCATTTTAATTTAATTTTATTAATTTTTTAAAAGTAATTTTTAATAATTTTTTCTATAATTCACGAGGAATTCTCTCTTTAAAAATATTAGTTACTAATATGTTTTTTTAATCATTTTAATTAATTGTTCAAAAATAATTTTTAATAATTTTTTCTCTCTTTAAAAATATTAGTTACTATCACAGTTAAAATTTAGGTATGGTAACTAAATTTCAGGTGTAACATAGGGATACTTCTAAAATTTAGCTAACTGTAATTTTATTTTCCGCAAAATACACACACATATATGGTATATATATATATAATCGTCGCGTGTCGCAAAATCAACGAGCCTCTCCGATGCTACTTGAAGATGAGCGGGCTCGGCGAATTAGTGTGTAAATTCGCGCGCGAAAGGCATTAGTGCCGTTTCACGAGCCGCACAAGGGGATTGATCGCTCGGACCCTCGTGCCTCTGCATTGTTTCAGCTCGAGCGTAACGCCTGTGGCCGATTCTATCCACAAATCCCGACCAACACTTTGATAAGAGGAACCACCGCTCGCGAAACTTGCATCTGTATCGGCAACGCGTGACGTTCTCCAATCCTTATTCGACACGCGCGTGCCAGATATTCACGCATTCGGAAAAGACGAATTAATTACTAAAAAAAAACTTTCAATAGAAGAAAAATACTGCTCTCTGTAACGTACGATAATATTCAAATTTGATTTGTCTTAATTTCATCCGCGGAAAAGACGAATTATTTCTTTTTATAAAAATATATTTTTCTCATTAGGAAATTATAGGTATTCAAATTTGATTTGTCTTAATTTTAATCACGCAAAAAAAGATGAATTAATTATTGGAAAAGAGAAAAGACACTTTACTCGTTATAAGAAAATTATATAAGAAAAAGATTACTTTCAATACTAGTATTCAAATTTGTCTTAATTTCATTCGCGAAAAAGACAAATCAATTATTAATTAAAAAGGAAAATATTTTTCTCATTATAAGAAAATTATATAAAAATAATCCTGCTCTCTATGATAGTATTCAAATTTGATTTGTTGTTAATTTTAGCTATCTAAAAAAGTCGAATCGATGACTGGAAAAAAGGAAAGGCTTTTTGTCATATAATAGTCTTTATATTTAATTTGTTTTAATTTTATCCGCGAAAAAGAACGCGACAAATCAATTATTAAAAAAAAATTTTTTTTATTATAAGAAAATTATAAGAAAAATATTTTACTCTCTGTATATTAGTATATATAATAGTATTCAAATTTGATTTGTTCTTAATTTTATCCATGCAGCTCCGGAAAAGATAAATCAATTTTATAAAAAAAAACTCGTTATAAGAAAAAATTACAAGAATAATACTACTCTTTATTCTAACATATAATAATATTCAATTTTGTCTTAATTTTTCACACATTTTTGGAAAAGATAAATCACTAAAAAAAGGGAAAAATTTTCACATTATAAGAAAATATAAGAAAAATATTATTTTCTACTAACATAAGATAGGACTCAAATTTTGTCATAATTTTTATTTCTAATTCTACGAACCATATCACTTGTCCGCGTGCGACCATGAATTATATTTTGCACGCGAGTAAGGTTATGTTCACAGTTTATTATTATTACGGAAAACAACATCGAGCTAAAATATTAATGCATTACCAAATTCTGCTTCCCGTTCCGAGATCAACGATCGCGAGAGATTAAGAATGATTCTCGTTCGGCGGCACGTTTGGGCTCTCCCGAACATTCGCTAAATATACATCATTTGACGTTTATATGTATACATACAGCTCGCGCGTATTTCGCGGGGTGTGCGAGAAAACCTTTTAGGCCGCACGTGTACACACATACACACTTATATATGTATATACACTAACGGAGCTAGCATGTATCCGCGCGCGCGTTGCGAGCGCCCCCGTCCGTCCGCGCGTGCACGCGCGGATGCGTGGGTGCGTGCAACGCGCGAGAGATGCGCAGGACGACTATTCAGATATTGTTGTTATTGTTGAGGGAACAATCGCCCGTCAATAGGCCGCCTCGGCACAATGTATCTATTCAGGTGCGGTCAGCGGTGCTCAATCGATCAGGATCCACCCTTCGCGCGCGGGAGTCGGAAAAAGCGAGTCCACGCGCGTGACCGACGATTTATTTATTTTCGGAAAAAGCACAAGTTTTCGTCTTGATAAAGTTCTACTCTTAACTGACAGTAAGTTTATGCAAGAGGAATACGCGTACTTGTTTTTATTTTATAAAATATATGATCATCATTGAAAAATTTGTGTTAACAAATATCACATGTCTTAAATGATCCACAGAAATTTTTGTGTTAATTTAACATAATTATTTTTATTTTATAAAATATCACATTTGTGATAAGTTTGTGTTAAATTTCTGTTAACAAATATAACACGTCTACACGGTCCATAGAAATTTTTGTGTTAATTTAACATAATACGGATATGTTAAATAGTGACACAAATATTGTATTAGATGTTAATATGTTAACATAAAATAAATGCAAACTTCAAATAAACTTAACATAAATTTTGTGTAAAATTAACATAGTTTTAAGGTAAAAATTAACTAAAATAAAATTAATTTTGCAGTTTATCCCCACTTATATTAGAAAATAAAATCAACATTCTTTTGTAAATTTTAAAAGATAAATTTTGTCTCTAATAATTACGAACATATTTATTGTGTAAAATTAAAAATAGATGCACATTATGTTATTTTTTGCAATTGTTTTAATAATTTCACATTTGAGTTTAATTAACACAGCAGCAATATGTTAAATTAACACATAAATGTGTTAAATATTTAACACAAAAATTTTAAAGGGGACCGTTTTTAATAAGAAAACACAATTTTTCCAACTGTGATGTAGGTACATCTAACATTCTGAGAAACAAAAAAAATATCAAATTAATGTAAATTATATTATAAGAAATAATTGACTTATTGACTTGCGTAATTAAAATTAATTTTACGATTCTCGTATAAATGTATATGTATGTATATGCATTATGTTAATAATAATTATCTTCAACATATTTTTTGATTTTTCAATCATTTCAATCACTGAACCTAAGCATGGTCTAATAAACGAATAGATACATTATATAGTGTAGGTATATAATGTGTGTATAAAGTGCAAAATTGTAAGGACTCAGAACTTTCCGGTCACCTCGGATCATCTATCGGAGCGTGAAATAAACTTTGAACCTCGATGAAACATATCGGTCCTTAAGATCAAATCGGAAATGTCTAGACATTATACCAAATCAAGTTTCCTATTTCTATTATAATTATTATAATTCTAAATTGTAATTTTAAAATTTCTATATTAAAAATCTCATTTTATAAATTTCTTAGAGAAGGAGGAGGCTACACTATAAGAAAATAAGTTCTATAAAAATAAATTCTATGTACAATTAATCATATATCAGCTTATTTCGACATGATAGCATTCAAATGCGACCCTCGCTTAAATATATTAAATATATCAAATATATTAAATAAATATTATGAAAAATTGTGTAAATTACCTATCACTGGCAGCTATTATTAGACGAGTTAGAGCTTGAGAGCAGCTATCAAACAAATGGCTATATCAGCGTGATTGATACTTTATAGGGTCACGCAAAGACGCTCTATAAAAAAAGAAAAAAGGTCCTGCCGCCGACTGAAGAAAGAAAAGAGACCGCGAATGAGAGCCGCTGCCACGGGCCGAGGGTACCCGAGTTTCGCGGCTATAGCGATGATTACGTATGCGGGAATCATTGTCGAGTAACGCGCGATGCACATGCAAAGGCCAAAAATCGTCGAAATCAGTCGAGTTCAACATCAGCATTGTACCTGGGCTTTGTCTCTGCCTCATTGTTGTTGGTCGGTGCTCCTCCCTACCCCTTCTCACTCTCTCTTTCTCTCTCTCTCTCTCTCTCTCTCTCACCCTCTCTCTCTCGGTATACAACCTACACGTACACGCGAGCCGCGGCTGCTGTCCCAGGTTGACTTCTATGGCTGGTCCAGCCACGCATCCAGGACCATTCTCGTGGATCGGTATAACCCCTTTACTTCGAAAAACGCGTGTATAAAGATATATGCAAAAAAATATGTATATATAAAAATTCGATATTTTTGACATTTCAAATTTTTTGAAAAATTAATATCGAAATGACGAGATAAATCAGTCTGATGCTTCCAGAAATTCTTGCACAAGTTTGAGAAGAGAGAGAAAGAGCTTTGCCCCTAACATAGAAATATTTCCTTTAAAGATGAGAATATTTATTTAAATTATAATTTAGGACACGATGACACAAGTGAACGTCAAGTTCTTCATAAATTATTCGTCGATTTTCGTACGCCGTATCTTTAATTCTTCATTCGATCCAGGATCATTCTCGTGGATTGATATAACCCCTTTACTTTGAAAATCGCGAGTCTAAATATATATGCAAAAAAATATGTATATAATAAAATTCGATATTTTTGACATTTCACATTTTTTGAAAATAAATATCGAAATGACGAGATAAATCAATCTGATGCTTTCAAAAATTTTTTCAAAAGTTTGAGAAGAGAGAGGAAGCTCTGCCTTTAAAATAATTCCTTTGAAGATGAGAATATTTATTTAAATTTAGTACACAATAGCGCAAGTGAACGTCAAGTTCTTCATAAATTATTCGTCGATTTTCGTACGCGGTATCTTTAATTCTTCATTCGATCCAGGACCATTCTCGTGGATCGGTATAACCCCTTTACTTCGAAAAACGCGCGTATAAAGATATATGCAAAAAAATATGTATATATGAAAA